CTGTTACTTGCATTGAATAGTTTTGGAAGAGAATGATTTTGTCTTCTTAGTAATGAATTGCGTCTGCCTTTCTGTATGCTTTTAGTATGGTTTCTTTGTCACACAAATTTAGCAGAATGATGATTACCGGTGTTGTTGTTGTTGTTTGAGTTAAAGTTCTTTCAGGACTTAATCAATGTGCTCTTTTTATTATTGGAAGTCAGGCTTGTTGTTTGATTAATTCAGGGAGCCCTGTAAAATAGAGGTTATTTGTTCTGCTCCTGTTGTCAAAATTCACCACCTTTGTTTGAAGTTGTCTCATTAGAGCAGATTGTTGGAGTTCAGTTGAGGAGTCTTCTAGATCACGGTGTATTTGTTCAAGGCTATCAAGTCTGGAGAAAGATCGCCAATATTGAGTTGAATTTCGCTTCTAATTTAGGCAAGAGCCTAAATATCGTCTGCTAGTGAGGCTGTGTTATTACTTGATAGTTCTGGCATGAATAAGCCATTTGATGTGGTGGGGCTTGGTGGTGCTGATGAGTTTTCCTCTATGCATATGTATGGTGTTTTCTAGAGCGCTTTAGAGTGTTTTGGATATAATTTGGTCTTATTTCTCCCAGATTATTCATTAAAAAAAAAGAAGAATGTAGAGAAGCAATTTATTATCCAATGTAAAGCCAGCAGCCTTTAAGTCATGATGCCATTAGGGGTCTCTTGAGATTATTTTGGATGTGCCATAGGGAAATGTCCAGGAATCAGGGCCTGGAGAAGCAAGTAGGCCTACTGAGTACTAGAAGTCAGAGCCAGGTACATAAGGTAAAATAAACACAATACATGTCATGTTAAATGAGTTCAGCTTCTCCATGTTTTGTGCTATTAATCCACTCTAGGAATTTTGGAAAGGGCTGGGATAGAGAGCCCTTTGGCTAGGATTGCCATGTGGTAAGTGGCATGCTGTTTGCATTGAATAATTAGGGAGTTCAAACCTACCTACTTCAAGCAGTGAGTGGGTCTTGAGTGCTGTATGCTGCACTTGAACAGGAACCTTGGAGTGTGCAATATTTGATGCTTTAGGCCTTCACTGAATTCCACACTGAGCAGCCAAGATGGCAGCTGGCCCTCTCATTGCAGTCCCAGCCCTGAACCTCTGGGGGACCATTCTCAATCTCCTATGCAGTCAAATGCGACTGAGGATAGTTGTATCGCCTACGGGTTCAGACGGGCAATATAAAGCTTTCAAAGAATGGCTCACTGCTGAGCTCTTCAGCTTGGGTCCACGTTCCCTGGCCCCTTCCCTGAAAGTCCTCTATGCACAATTCTACTAAAAACTAAAATTTTCTTGATTTTGTTCACATTCTTTCCAAAATGCTTGTATTTAAATGTCATTTAGGTTAGATACAACTAGAGTTCCCCAAACAATATAAAGATTTGGTGCAATCAGCAACATCTTGTTTCATATAGTGCTCATGTGAGCCACATAATATGTTTCAGTAAGTATTCAAAAAAAGGTCACCTAGTGGGTAATTAGAATAGAAGACTAACATGAACAAGATAAAAAAAATTATATATATATATATATATAACATCCAGACAGAAGGCTAGCACTCGAGGACTTCAATGTCAAAAGTAAAAACTTTTAATCCAACTTGTCAAATAGTCGACATTTCAGTCCACAATTGTGAACTTTCCTCAGGAGTGATAGCCTTCTGTCTGGATGTTATGTTTTTGTGTAGCTGAGCACCGGGCTGATATTGAAAAGGAGAGCTGGAGTGCAAAACTCCCAACGAACTGTATATATATATATATATATATATATATATATATAATACACAAGATCCAGCGCACTCACCTATCCACTAAACAGCAACTTCAATGTTGAAAGATTGTATTTGTTTTTTTTAAAACACCTAATCTAGGCAAAAATAATGGGGGTTTAGTTACATTATATGATCATACATTGCATAAGCCTGCCACAACGTCAATGTACCCCATCTTTGGCAGGTCCTACACTAACAGCCTAATGTCTGCTCTTATGAGATTAACCTACTTGGGGAAAGAAATTCCATCTGGGGCTCTCTGCAGTACAAGGCCAAATAGGGCCCTGGGATGAGGCACCTGTGACAGGGAGGGGTGCAAAACCAAGGAGTTGGCTAGACTCCCAAACACATACATAAAACAAGAGGGGGTTGGCTGCACTCACCTAAACATGCACAAATGGGGGTGCTGCTGGGGGCCAAACAATACAATACACAAGATCCAGCGTACTCACCTATCCACTAAACAGCAACTTCAATGTTGAAAGATTGTATTTGTTTTTTTTAAAACACCTAATCTAGGCAAAAATAATGGGGGTTTAGTTACATTATATGATCATACATTGCATAAGCCTGCCACAACGTCAATGTACCCCATCTTTGGCAGGTCCTACACTAACAGCCATGTCTGCTCTTATGAGATTAACCTACTTGGGAAAAAAATTCCATCTGGGGCTCTCTGCAGTACAAGGCTAAATAGGGCCCTGGGATGAGGCACCTGTGACAGGGAGGGGTGCAAAACCAAGGAGCTGGCTAGACTCCCAAATATATATAAAACAAGAGGGGGTTGGCTGCACTCACCTTAACATGCATAAATGGGGGTGCTGCTGGGGGCCAAATAATACAATACACAAGATCCAGCGCACTCACCTATCCACTAAACAGCAACTTCAATGTTGAAAGATTGTATTTGTTTTTTAAAAAACACCTAATCTAGGCAAAAATAATTGGGTTTTAGTTACATTATATGATCATACATTGCATAAGCCTGCCACAACGTCAATGTACCCCATCTTTGGCAGGTCCTACACTAACAGCCTAATGTCTGCTCTTATGAGATTAACCTACTTGGGAAAAAAATTCCATCTGGGGCTCTCTGCAGTACAAGGCTAAATAGGCAAAAAGACAAAATATAAGTGGAGCTCTGATTTACCTGTATGGATAGTAGTATAATACAGATGGATAAAAATACTTAAACAAGAATCTGTAAATAAGTAACAATAAAATCTAAGTGCAGACAGTAGTTTCAATGTAAATATATAAAATGGATAGTAAATAGGTAACTCACAAACATAGAGCCAATAACACACTTGGCTCTAGTGGTAAATGCCTCTGGATCTTCTTAGGGGAGATCCACCACCCTCTTTTGATTGCCTCCTGATGTCCTCCACTTTAGATTTGAGTATGGATGGAATGGATAAAATGGCAAACTCCAAATGGTAGTGTTGGCAAAAATTTATTATATAAAACAAATATTCTGGTAAATAAAATGAAAGGAATATTTGATAAAAGTACATAAAATCCCAAAACGCGTTTCGCCAATAAACTGGCTTCCTCGGTTGGTATAAAAGTCCTTGCGTCCTCCTGTTCTTTTTTATATATGTGCTTAATGGTATAATGATCGGCATCTGTTACACCGGAAGAACGCTCTGTGGTACGCACACAGAGCGAGTTGGAACGCACGTATAGACGTGCGTGCGGAAGTCACGTGACATAGTTTTTCAACTCCCTGGAACGCTAACATATGCGTTCCACCATCTTATGACGTAAGATCCGGCTGCTATACTTCCTCTTTCTTCGTGGAACGCATGGTATGCGTTCCACTGCCGGAACTCTTTTACTGAACGCAAAAAGTCCCAAAAAGATTAATGTCCATTAATTCTCAAATGTGTCAATAGGAGAAAGAAACATAAACACAATGATTACATCACAAATAAATTATAGCATAATAATCATGGGTGTTGATAGATATATTGTGAGCTATATAATATGACTTTTAAAGAGTAAATAATAGTATCCAATCTCTATAATTGTGAGCAATAGCAGATATAAAAGTGAATAAAAATTTAGGAGGGTGGAGAAAGGATCATTAAAAATGCATATAATAACAAATCATTTATACAGAACTATTAAATAGGGGAAAATTGATTATAAAAAGTGACATAATTCAAAATCCAAATTTAATCCATAGGGAACCATAGTATTAAAATTGAAAATAAAAGACATTTCTTCTATCCCAATTTTTTTAATGAAATCTCCACCCCTCCAATTTTTTTTAACTAATTTAAGTGCACAAAACATAAGACCCTGTGGGTTTTGATGGTGGTATTGTTTAAAATGTTGTGAGACACTATGTGTGTCAACTCCTTTTTTAATGTTTCTCACATGTTCTGAAACTCTGACATGGAGGCACCTAATAGTCCTCCCTATATACATTTTGTTACACGGACAGATTAATAAATAAATAATATTTTTAGAGAAACATGTCAGTTGGTCTCTTATTGTAAACTCTTTATTGATAATTTCATTCGTGTTTTTGATGTGTCTCTTTTTACTTGTTGTTTCCCTACATGCGAAGCACGTTCCACACCCATAAAAACCTTTACTTTTCGTTATAAAGTTGTCATTTTCATTCTGATGATTCCTCAAATTACTGTTTACTAAAAAATTCTTTATATTCTTACATCCCCTATGTACAATTTTGGGTCTCTCTGGTAATATTTCTTTTAAAATTGGGTCGTCCTGTAGTAAGTGCCAATACTTGTTAATGGCATATCGTACTTTCTTATTATTTGCAGAAAAATTACAAATAAAAGGAATGTTGCATTTGTTATCTTCTATTCTTGCTTTTTTCTTTTTATATATTAATAATTCTTTTCGCTCTAATTTTGTTATCTCTTCTATACCCTTTTGTAGGTCTTCTTCTTTATATCCTTTTTCTAAGAATTGATTTTTAATCGTCTGAGTTTGTCTTAGAAAATCTTCTTTTTTAGTACAGTTTCTTTTTAACCTCATAAACTGGCTTTTGGGTGCATTCGTAAGCCACGGAGTGTGGTGACAACTAGTGAGATCTATGTATCCATTGCAATCTACCTCTTTAAAATAATTTCTTGTGAAAATGTTTCCCTCTTCTATAAAGACAGTAAGATCTAAAAAATTTACTTCCACTCTACTTTGAGTGGAAGTTAAGCTGATTCCCCAGTCATTGCTATTTAAAAAACTTAAAAAATTACTCAATTTTAAATCATTTCCCTTCCAAATAAAAAATATATCATCAATGTAACGGCGATAGGTGACCAAGTCCGCAAAAAATTCACTATGTAAAATAAATGTTTCTTCCCAATACGCCATGAAGAGATTTGCGTAACTTGGTGCGAACTTGGTCCCCATCGCCGTTCCATTGATTTGCAAATAAAAACTGTCTTTAAACCAAAAAAAATTATTGGTCAGAATTAAAGACATACCTTCTTTAATAAAATTAACCTGTTCTTGTTTAAAATTCGATTTTTCTAAAAAATATTGCACCGCCTCTATTCCCTTTATGTGTGGAATGTTGCTATAAAGAGAACTTACATCACAAGTGACCAATATATAATTCTCTTCCCATTTGATATCTCCTAAAATTTGCAAAATGTGTATCGTATCTTTCAAATACGTTGGATTCTTAATTACCACCGGTTGAAGTAGGACATCAATATATTCCGAGACTCTCAATGAGATGCTCTCTACCCCCGAAATTATAGGTCTACCTGGTGGGTTGGTTAAATGTTTGTGCATTTTTGGCAAACAATAAAACACTGGAATTTGGGGATTTAAAATAATTAAGTATTTGGCTTCTGTCTCTGTTAAAATATTGTTTTCTAATCCTTTATCAATATATTCTTTAAACTTAATTGTAATTTCTTGACTAGGGTTGGATGTTAATTTTTTATATGTTTTTACATCCGACAGAAGTCTTTCTGCTTCTCCTACATATTTTTCTTTAGATAGAATTACCACCCCTCCCCCCTTGTCTGCTGGTTTTATAATTAAGTTGTCATCCTTTTGTAACTTCTTTAAAATTGTTAATTCTGCTTGCGTGAGATTTTTTTGATATTTATTTGTATGTTTAATTTTTTTAACTTCTTTCATAATCATGGTCTCAAAGGTTTTGATTTCGCTTGAGATCATATTCCTTGGAAAGAATTTTGATTTTTCTTTAAGATTACTATGGATATACGGGGAAGTCTTATTGGTTTCTACTAATTCTCTATTATAAAAAATTTTTTTCAAACATAACTGTCTGGTGAAGCGGTTAAGATCTATAAAAAATTCAAATGGTTTAAAATCTGCAGACGGAGCAAACTTCAAACCTTTTTTTAGAAAAGTAAGTTCATCTTGACCTAATTCTTTATCTGAAAGGTTGAATATACCTTTATTATCTACATCCGTCCTCGTTTCTCTCTGTTGTAATTTCTTTCGTCTTCTATTTCTCCCTCTTCCCACGATCTCCTCCTTTTGCCCGGCGAGTCCCATTCCCGTGATTCTTGAAGTTGTTTGTATCTGGGTTGTACTGGGCTTTTGCGAAAAGGAGAAGATTTGGGGGAGGTGTTGCTATGTTCCAATATTTGGAAACGATTATAGGTAGTTATATCATGATTTCTGTCTATGGTCGGTTTACATCTATCCGTACAAGATCTATGTTTATTCTGTGGAGGGTTCCTATTTTGAAAATTTCTCGATGAACTTGCAACTACTTTACTGTAACTCCTAGTGTCATTCCCCTGTCTTCCATCTTGTTGAAGTGAATTAGGCTTCTGTATAATGGCTGGGACATTATAGTCTTCGGCTCTACTTTCTTGTTTTTCATCCTCCTTACTTTCATAGGGTCTTTGGTATGGTCTATAATTCCTTTTTCCTCCAATTTCCCTATATGGAAGATTTTCTTGATTATAGTTCCTTTGATATTGATATCTTTGTGGACCTCTATGTTCTGTATTTCTTTGCCTATACATTTTTGATTGATACTGTCTCGATTGGCTTGGAGATCGTAATCTTATCTGCTTTCTCTGGTAGCTAAATGTCCTCCCTCTATTGGACTGATTGGATTTATTCCAATTGTCAAATTTTTTGTTATTGTTTCTTACATTTCCTGTTTTGTAATCTTCCAAATCCCTTAAATATTTATGTTTCTTAGTCTCTATTACTTTTCTCTCTGTTTTATCAATTTTCTTTTTCATTTCTGATATTATTTCATTAAATATTTCTGGACTGGTAGTCTCACTTAGACCTTTTCTGAACTTTTTTACATCCTCATCTAATTTGATAAGATTTTCTTCACGTCTTGCTACTATATACCCTATAAGGCTAAATGAAAATCCATCTAATAATCTATTCCATCCTTCCATAAAGAATTGATCATCACGATCAAAGGAGGGATCTTTAGAAAATGAAGTTTGCTCCGTCTGCAGATTTTAAACCATTTGAATTTTTTATAGATCTTAACCGCTTCACCAGACAGTTATGTTTGAAAAAAATTTTTTATAATAGAGAATTAGTAGAAACCAATAAGACTTCCCCGTATATCCATAGTAATCTTAAAGAAAAATCAAAATTCTTTCCAAGGAATATGATCTCAAGCGAAATCAAAACCTTTGAGACCATGATTATGAAAGAAGTTAAAAAAATTAAACATACAAATAAATATCAAAAAAATCTCACGCAAGCAGAATTAACAATTTTAAAGAAGTTACAAAAGGATGACAACTTAATTATAAAACCAGCAGACAAGGGGGGAGGGGTGGTAATTCTATCTAAAGAAAAATATGTAGGAGAAGCAGAAAGACTTCTGTCGGATGTAAAAACATATAAAAAATTAACATCCAACCCTAGTCAAGAAATTACAATTAAGTTTAAAGAATATATTGATAAAGGATTAGAAAACAATATTTTAACAGAGACAGAAGCCAAATACTTAATTATTTTAAATCCCCAAATTCCAGTGTTTTATTGTTTGCCAAAAATGCACAAACATTTAACCAACCCACCAGGTAGACCTATAATTTCGGGGGTAGAGAGCATCTCATCGAGAGTCTCGGAATATATTGATGTCCTACTTCAACCGGTGGTAATTAAGAATCCAACGTATTTGAAAGATACGATACACATTTTGCAAATTTTAGGAGATATCAAATGGGAAGAGAATTATATATTGGTCACTTGTGATGTAAGTTCTCTTTATAGCAACATTCCACACATAAAGGGAATAGAGGCGGTGCAATATTTTTTAGAAAAATCGAATTTTAAACAAGAACAGGTTAATTTTATTAAAGAAGGTATGTCTTTAATTCTGACCAATAATTTTTTTTGGTTTAAAGACAGTTTTTATTTGCAAATCAATGGAACGGCGATGGGGACCAAGTTCGCACCAAGTTACGCAAATCTCTTCATGGCGTATTGGGAAGAAACATTTATTTTACATAGTGAATTTTTTGCGGACTTGGTCACCTATCGCCGTTACATTGATGATATATTTTTTATTTGGAAGGGAAATGATTTAAAATTGAGTAATTTTTTAAGTTTTTTAAATAGCAATGACTGGGGAATCAGCTTAACTTCCACTCAAAGTAGAGTGGAAGTCATTTTTTTAGATCTTACTGTCTTTATAGAAGAGGGAAACATTTTCACAAGAAATTATTTTAAAGAGGTAGATTGCAATGGATACATAGATCTCACTAGTTGTCACCACACTCCGTGGCTTACGAATGCACCCAAAAGCCAGTTTATGAGGTTAAAAAGAAACTGTACTAAAAAAGAAGATTTTCTAAGACAAACTCAGACGATTAAAAATCAATTCTTAGAAAAAGGATATAAAGAAGAAGACCTACAAAAGGGTATAGAAGAGATAACAAAATTAGAGCGAAAAGAATTATTAATATATAAAAAGAAAAAAGCAAGAATAGAAGATAACAAATGCAACATTCCTTTTATTTGTAATTTTTCTGCAAATAATAAGAAAGTACGATATGCCATTAACAAGTATTGGCACTTACTACAGGACGACCCAATTTTAAAAGAAATATTACCAGAGAGACCCAAAATTGTACATAGGGGATGTAAGAATATAAAGAATTTTTTAGTAAACAGTAATTTGAGGAATCATCAGAATGAAAATGACAACTTTATAACGAAAAGTAAAGGTTTTTATGGGTGTGGAACGTGCTTCGCATGTAGGGAAACAACAAGTAAAAAGAGACACATCAAAAACACGAATGAAATTATCAATAAAGAGTTTACAATAAGAGACCAACTGACATGTTTCTCTAAAAATATTATTTATTTATTAATCTGTCCGTGTAACAAAATGTATATAGGGAGGACTATTAGGTGCCTCCATGTCAGAGTTTCAGAACATGTGAGAAACATTAAAAAAGGAGTTGACACACATAGTGTCTCACAACATTTTAAACAATACCACCATCAAAACCCACAGGGTCTTATGTTTTGTGCACTTAAATTAGTTAAAAAAAATTGGAGGGGTGGAGATTTCATTAAAAAAATTGGGATAGAAGAAATGTCTTTTATTTTCAATTTTAATACTATGGTTCCCTATGGATTAAATTTGGATTTTGAATTATGTCACTTTTTATAATCAATTTTCCCCTATTTAATAGTTCTGTATAAATGATTTGTTATTATATGCATTTTTAATGATCCTTTCTCCACCCTCCTAAATTTTTATTCACTTTTATATCTGCTATTGCTCACAATTATAGAGATTGGATACTATTATTTACTCTTTAAAAGTCATATTATATAGCTCACAATATATCTATCAACACCCATGATTATTATGCTATAATTTATTTGTGATGTAATCATTGTGTTTATGTTTCTTTCTCCTATTGACACATTTGAGAATTAATGGACATTAATCTTTTTGGGACTTTTTGCGTTCAGTAAAAGAGTTCCGGCAGTGGAACGCATACCATGCGTTCCACGAAGAAAGAGGAAGTATAGCAGCCGGATCTTACGTCATAAGATGGTGGAACGCATATGTTAGCGTTCCAGGGAGTTGAAAAACTATGTCACGTGACTTCCGCACGCACGTCTATACGTGCGTTCCAACTCGCTCTGTGTGCGTACCACAGAGCGTTCTTCCGGTGTAACAGATGCCGATCATTATACCATTAAGCACATATATAAAAAAGAACAGGAGGACGCAAGGACTTTTATACCAACCGAGGAAGCCAGTTTATTGGCGAAACGCGTTTTGGGATTTTATGTACTTTTATCAAATATTCCTTTCATTTTATTTACCAGAATATTTGTTTTATATAATAAATTTTTGCCAACACTACCATTTGGAGTTTGCCATTTTATCCATTCCATCCATACTCAAATCTAAAGTGGAGGACATCAGGAGGCAATCAAAAGAGGGTGGTGGATCTCCCCTAAGAAGATCCAGAGGCATTTACCACTAGAGCCAAGTGTGTTATTGGCTCTATGTTTGTGAGTTACCTATTTACTATCCATTTTATATATTTACATTGAAACTACTGTCTGCACTTAGATTTTATTGTTACTTATTTACAGATTCTTGTTTAAGTATTTTTATCCATCTGTATTATACTACTATCCATACAGGTAAATCAGAGCTCCACTTATATTTTGTCTTTTTGCATGTTCTGTGTTGTGAAGGTTAAGGGATTCCTTCACTTAAGTGTTAGAGCCTGTTTTTCACCTTGCTAGTTTTGTGTGCACCGTTTTATTTCAAGGCTAAATAGGGCCCTGGGATGAGGCACCTGTGACAGGGAGGGGTGCAAAACCAAGGAGTTGGCTAGACTCCCAAACACATACATAAAACAAGAGGGGGTTGGCTGCACTCACCTAAACATGCACAAATGGGGGTGCTGCTGGGGGCCAAACAATACAATACACAAGATCCAGCGCACTCACCTATCCACTAAACAGCAACTTCAATGTTGAAAGATTGTATTTGTTTTTTTTAAAACACCTAATCTAGGCAAAAATAATGGGGGTTTAGTTACATTATATGATCATACATTGCATAAGCCTGCCACAACGTCAATGTACCCCATCTTTGGCAGGTCCTACACTGACAGCCTAATGTCTGCTCTTATGAGATTAACCTACTTGGGAAAAAAAAAATTCCATCTGGGGCTCTCTGCAGTACAAGGCTAAATAGGGCCCTGGGATGAGGCACCTGTGACAGGGAGGGGTGCAAAACCAAGGAGTTGGCTAGACTCCCAAACACATACATAAAACAAGAGGGGGTTGGCTGCACTCACCTAAACATGCACAAATGGGGGTGCTGCTGGGGGCCAAACAATACAATACACAAGATCCAGCGCACTCACCTATCCACTAAACAGCAACTTCAATGTTGAAAGATTGTATTTGTTTTTTTTAAAACACCTAATCTAGGCAAAAATAATGGGGGTTTAGTTACATTATATGATCATACATTGCATAAGCCTGCCACAGCGTCAATGTACCCCATCTTTGGCAGGTCCTACACTAACAGCCTAATGTCTGCTCTTATGAGATTAACCTACTTGGGAAAAAATTCCATCTGGGGCTCTCTGCAGTACAAGGCTAAATAGGGCCCTGGGATGAGGCACCTGTGACAGGGAGGGGTGCAAAACCAAGGAGTTGGCTAGACTCCCAAATATATATAAAACAAGAGGGGTTGGCTGCACTCACCTTAACATGCATAAATGGGGGTGCTGCTGGGGGCCAAATAATACAATACACAAGATCCAGCGCACTCACCTATCCACTAAACAGCAACTTCAATGTTGAAAGATTTTGGTTTTTTTAAAACACCTAATCTAGGCAAAAATAATGGGGTTTAGTTACATTATATGATCATACATTGCATAAGCCTGCCACAACGTCAATGTACCCCATCTTTGGCAGGTCCTACTCTAACAGCCTAATGTCTGCTCTTATGAGATTAACCTACTTGGGAAAAAAATTCCATCTGGGGCTCTCTGCAGTACAAGGCTAAATAGGGCCCTGGGATGAGGCACCTGTGACATTTGTGCATGTTTAGGTGAGTGCAGCCAACCCCCTCTTGTTTTATGTATGTGTTTGGGAGTCTAGCCAACTCCTTGGTTTTGCACCCCTCCCTGTCACAGGTGCCTCATCCCAGGGCCCTATTTAGCCTTGTACTGCAGAGAGCCCCAGATGGAATTTTTTTCCCAAGTAGGTTAATCTCATAAGAGCAGACATTAGGCTGTTAGTGTAGGACCTGCCAAAGATGGGGTACATTGACGTTGTGGCAGGCTTATGCAATGTATGATCATATAATGTAACTAAACCCCCATTATTTTTGCCTAGATTAGGTGTTTTTTAAAAAAACAAATACAATCTTTCAACATTGAAGTTGCTGTTTAGTGGATAGGTGAGTGCGCTGGATCTTGTGTATTGTATTATTTGGCCCCCAGCAGCACCCCCATTTATGCATGTTAGGTGAGTGCAGCCAACCCCCTCTTGTTTTATGTATGTGTTTGGGAGTCTAGCCAACTCCTTGGTTTTGCACCCCTCCCTGTCACAGGTGCCTCATCCCAGGGCCCTATTTAGCCTTGTACTGCAGAGAGCCCCAGATGGAATTTTTTTCCCCAAGTAGGTTAATCTCATAAGAGCAGACATTAGGCTGTTAGTGTAGGACCTGCCAAAGATGGGGTACATTGACGTTGTGGCAGGCTTATGCAATGTATGATCATATAATGTAACTAAACCCCCATTATTTTTGCCTAGATTAGGTGTTTTTAAAAAAAACAAATACAATCTTTCAACATTGAAGTTGCTGTTTAGTGGATAGGTGAGTGCGCTGGATCTTGTGTATTGTATTGTTTGGCCCCCAGCAGCACCCCCATTTGTGCATGTTTAGGTGAGTGCAGCCAACCCCCTCTTGTTTTATATATATATATATATATATATATATATATATACATATATATATATATATATACATACATACACACACACATGTTTGCAAGACTACATTACACTCCCTAATGCAAGACAATATTTTAATTTACAAACTCAGATTTTTTTCCATCTTACTTATTTACAGTGTTACTCTAATTATACTAGTTCATTTGTGTACACAATGGCAACCTGGGTCAAGTACTGCTCTTGTATAACTACCATTAGCCCCTTTTGCAATATATCAAAAACAGATTTAATTAAAGCCGATGACACAAGTAACTGCGAGAAATGATTGCACCATCTATCTGCATCTTTCTGATTGGAAAACTTGTAGGGGAGAAATATAAAGGTGTTTCAATAATGTATTTCAGTAATATAACCAATTATACAAGAAGAGATCATTAACGGTTCATAATTTTATAACATGACAGGAGGCTTCATATTTTCTTAAGTCTCTCTTTACTAGAACTCCACAGCAGCACATTAACATAGAGAAAAACACGAGAGACAAAAAGTAAGGAATCCATACAAGGCTCTTCCCAACCAACTATTACTCTTTCTTTGCTGCTTCTCAGTCAGTACAGGTCAGAGTACCACTGCCTCCTGTTTTATATGGGTGGCTGTGGGATATAC